CTTTTTTTTTTTTTTTTTTTTTTTTTTTTTTTTTTTTTGGTGCCTGGATTGAACCCAGGACTTTGCATTTGAGAGGCAGTCGCGGTGCCACTGAGCTAAATCACCGGCCCAGTTTCATTCTTAATTACAAAGGCAGTGTAACCAACACCATGGATTACTTGTCATAGGGACAATTGAAAATGATAAGTCTTTGTCATTGTAACGCATTTTGGTAGTGCATTTAATTCCCACTATAATGTTTTATTATTATCCTCACCTCAGTGGTGCCTATGGCCTTCAATAAAGGAGCAGAGTTTCGAAGGGTTGGCAAAACAGGCCAACAATGCACCAAGAAAGGATTTTGGAGGCAGGAACTAATGGAGAGGGTAATTTCTCAGGGGGACATCGGTGATGCTGGCTGTGCCCAGAGAAGGCCATATCCGTAGCCTATAGAGGGCCGCCATCTTAGTGGAAAGAAGGACTCACAGAAGCAGCCAGAACAAGCGGGATGACAAAGAATCCCTCACCTGCTGGCTAATGGCCCAAGAAGATCATCTCCCCCTGGGGCTGTTGGGATTTCAGAGCGGGTGGGGCACCTCAAGCCACACACCCTTCCCCTCCTGTCTCCTTGGCCTCACTTTCAGGCTGAGGTAAAGTTGAGTGAGTGCTTTAAAAAAGGATATAAATTGAACTGTATAAGTCAGGACAGATTTGTGTATTTTTAATTCACATGCCCAAACCATAGCGGAACATGCTGAAGACATTTTAAGGGTATGTTGACCATTAATTCTCTTTTAACTTGAAGCAAGAAAGTTAAAAGATCAAGCCAACTACAATAAGAGAATGCCTTGTTTGTTTGTTTGTTTGTTTTTGAGGCAAGGTTTCCCTCTATAGTTCAGGCTGGCCTTGAACCCATAATGTAATCCAGGCTTGCCTCCAACTTGAACTCCGAGTGATCCTCCTGCCTCAGCCTCCTGACTGCTGGGATCACAGGCGAGGAATCCCAACCAATTTGAGAACACCATCTTGATGAAGCCTTAGCTGTTCCTCCAAGTGGAGAAATCAGGGCCTGGGTTGGTGATTTTAAAATGGTAATTGCAAGGCAGGCATGGAATCACTGGGTGAGACTCGGCCTTGAGTCATGTAATAGCTCTGCATACAAACAAATATAGGCTGGGATCCTGAAGTGAATCTTTTGAGCAAGTTGCCAGCTTTAATCAGTTGGTTGAAGAACTTATCTTCCAAAACAACTCATTTTTGGCTTATAGTACACTGCATTATCGTCTAGAAAAAAGTATTTTCTGGACCAAGCAACCAGACTATTTTGCTTGGTCTCAGTCCTGTTGAACATAGAGAAAAGTATTCCTGTCTCAGAACTGTATAATACAGGGATAAAAAATTATAAAGATTTTAGTTCTTGAGCCAGAAAGGTAGATCACCCCCCACCTGAACAGTGCAAGAAGTAGTAACTGGAAAAAATAAAGCCAATTTGTGTTTATCCTGCCCCTTCACTGAGAGTTTGAAATAAGTTGTATTATGTTATCACTCTCATTTGGAACTGGAAGCTCAAATAAGTTAAAAACTTGTCTAAGATCACAAAACTAATGAGTAGAGGAGTGGGAATTCAAACCCAGGTCTCTGTAAAAGAGGTATTTGCTCCCCCGCTGATTATTGGATCAATATTAGCTGATTTAAAAAGCTTCATTTTTGCCAGGCATGGTGGCACATATCTGTAATCCCAGTACTCAGGAGGCTGAAGCAGGGTGATCTCCATGAGTTCAAGGCCAGTTTGGGCTACATAGGAAGACCTGGCCTCCAATCAATCAATCTTCACTTTAAAAAATTAAATCTTTATTTTGTTTTGCTACTGTAGAATAATGCCTCCAAAGAAGACAGGGCATAGCCATTTTGCTTCATAGAGCTTTGGGGCAATTTAATTTTTCCTTTAGGACTTAAAAGTATGTCTTTGACGTGACACATGTTTGGACTTACAATCTTGCACAATTCTTTCTTTCTTCTCTCTAAAAATGCTGAAACAATTCCAGAAATGCCTCTTGTACTTCTGCACCTCCCAGCACAAAAGAGCAGCTTGATGTTGTGTGGGCCTGCACTGAAATGTTTACTGCTCCTACAGTAGCGACACCT